TAATATTTTAATATGTATACTAGTGGGAACAGAGGAATCTCATACGCACTCGCATGCACATAATATCAGACTATAATTTTGTGATCGCGAAAAAAATGTTTATTTTTCACTCAATTAGATAACTCTAATTCCAACAATACATCGCAATAATTACCTTTATTTGCATTTGACATATTTTGAAACGCTGTACACTCGTTTAAGACGTCTATTCTGAAAAAAATATTCTAATTTTCCCACAAAATATTTATGAGTGATCAATTGAATCACATTTTTATAATTGTATGAAGTTGATTAAATATTTAGGTTTGAAATTTTGCCAAAGCTGGGCATTAACTAGTTAGACAGTTAAAGTTAAGTTAGTAAGTTACTTTTTAAGTAACTTTCTAACTTAACTAGTTCGTTTTAATTCATGTTAACTTTGTAACTTAACTAGTTGAATTTAATGTGCAAATAGTCTAATCTAACTCGTTAGAAAAAAAAACTAACTATAGTTATTATTATTTTTTTTTTTTCATACCAAAATTCCAAAATATTTCCTTAATCCTGACATTATGGCTATACGCCTATATACGCCTATATACATTATCGGCACAAATATATTATTAATTATTAGTATTTATAACTATGTGACTTTATCAGTGATAAGTGATATATCAATTAATTTCCAATTAATTGAAATTATTATTTTGAACATTTTGATCAAATTACTAGGTGTTTAATTCAATTTTTCAGTTTTAATCAATAATTTAATTAGACACCTAACTTATTATTTATATTTCAACAAAAAGGTTTTTTAATCTATAAAAAAAAACTAACTTCTAACTTCTACTCTAACTTAAGTTACTATTTTCACCAAAAACTTCCAACTAACTAAGTTAGAAATTTGGACAGTTTCAGAAACGTTATATAAGTTATTATATTCTAACTTAGTTAGTTTTTTTATTTATGTAACTTAACTTCAACTAGTTGAAAAAAATGACTAACTTGCCCAGCTTTGAATTTTGCAAATTTCAACAACGTTTATTGAAATATAAAATACAAAAATTAAAATGTGGCCCGATCGATCCTTCGTAGATATCACGGATAATTCGAATAAATCAGAATAAAAATCGTAATAAATATCGGTGGAGACTCATTTGCGCACATATTAATATATTTTTTAAATTTACGACAACTCATTTGCGCACAAAATAGTAAACAATGGAAACCAGCTTTTAGGTACAGTTTTGGGTGTACAGGGTGTCTTAAGCTGTCCAACACGTTACACGTTATTCAATATTATTGATATCAATGATCACCCGTTATTGGAGTATCTTCAATATAGCCTTATATAGTCTTAAAGCATAACGTGATTTCACATCAGTTCTTATATCTATCAAAAATGGCATTAATACTCGCCAAGTACACTAGTCGTGTGGGACAAGCTTTAATCTTTATTATTGATATTATTGCTATATCTTACCCTATTTTTGTTAAACGTTAAACCTAATTTATTGTAATTTGACAAAATTTTAATGACTTGTAAAAATTATTGTACCTAATTTATTGTAATTTGACAAAAATTTGAATAATGTGTAATAGCTAAAACAACATTTTTAACCCGCCAGTCTATAACATCAGAATATGATGAGACATGAAGTCCTAAGCCTTTGAAAGGGTGAAGGAAAATGTTGTTTGAGTATAATAATTGTCCACTATCAGTATTGACCAAATCGAAAATATGGTGGTACGGAGATTATGTACACTCTATACGTGGATAAAATTCTTGGAAAAAAGGTTTCTATTGTTCGTAAATTGTGCGCAAATGAGTTATGTTTTTGTGCGCAAATGAGTTGTAAAAAGGTAAATGTGCGCAAATGAGTTGCAGCCTAAATATCGACAAGTATCGTTGGAAATATTAGAAACAGTATATTATATTGACAAAGAAATCGCGCATTTTTTTGAAAATAACTTTAAATACTTAAATAATTACCATAGTACCATATCAAATATTTTATGAAATAATCCAACAGAATTTGCTGTTGTTTTAATTATCAGAATTTCATCAAGCATTACCATAGAGCACGGACTAAGATATACAGGACTGGAAACGACGGCGTTATCAATGGAACTAATGTACAACCATAGAACAATATGGTTAGGTTAGGTTAGTACAACGCTAGTTGGTACAACGTCGATCTTAACGCCATCTAGGTACGTAAGTGCATTACATAATAATTTAATAATTAATTGTTAAATTATTAAATTGTAATTATTATTTATGGTGCCTAGTGCCTACTACCTACTACCTAGTACCTATATAAAAAAAAAATGTATTATAATATTGAGTTAAGAATTAAGATCTAAAATGTACTTGTATAGTTAAATTACCTATATACAATATAAGGTACCTTAATTGACAAGTAGTTTATGAGATTGAGAGCAAATTTCAATAAAACTTTCATTTTACAAGTAGCACAGAATATTAGAGTTAATACATTATATTATTTTTACATATTTGCATTTTAGTGTTTTAATTTATTAATGTAATAACTAAAAACTATAGTATGACATACCTGTTAATACTTGATTTGCAATAACAATAATTGTTGTGAATATTTAATATTCTATTTTGAAGTTCATACCTACCTAAAGGTACCTATACTCACTTCGAAATTCAAATACTGTGCAGATATTTGTGTAGGTATGCATAAAAACCATAACAACAATAAATTAAATTTATGAGTAGTTCATAATTTATTTTGATAGTATCGATTCACATGCACTTTGTAGTGTTTTTAATACTGAAATACTACTATTCTCTTGGTTTAATAGTAGGTATATATTAAGTATGAAAAATATTTGAGTAGTTTGAGTAACATTTTAAACACTTTTAAAAATTATCTTTACAACACTACAAATGTCAAACTGTTCTCTTGGTTTAATAGTAGGTATATATTAAGTATGAAAAATATTTGAGTAGTTTGAGTAACATTTTAAACACTTTTAAAAATTATCTTTACAACACTACAAATGTCAAATTGCTAAGTTACATACTGACTACAATTAATAGTAACTTGATTGTAAAATAGATCATAAATTGCATAAATATAAAATTTAACATACATTTAAATCTCCTGGATAGTTGTTATATACACTTATTAAATCTGCAGCTGAAAAATGATTTTGACAAACATAATGAGCAATGGAACTTTTACCATTAGCTTTAGAGACAGCTTCGTTACATGCTGTTAAAATATTAACTTCTTTTGGTGCTTTGAACAATGTACATTTAATTTTGTTTTTCAAAATATGGCATTGATCTACACTACACCGCCTAGGCATTTTGGTAATTTATCTTAAATAATAAATAAATGTAATGTACTATTGAAATATTGGTAATAAAAAAGTACAACATAGAATGAATTTTAGATAGGATTCACAGAATAGACTAAAATAATCTTTTATGTATGGTCAATACTTGCTCAGTACCTATTCTGTACTTAATTTAATAACATATACATACAAATAAAGTATAATATATCTTAGATTAAGTTGTTTAGTATAAAATATATTATACACATTCAAGAAACAAAATTAGATACAAGATGTGTATAACAAGTCTAAACATAGAAAAGTAAGTTTATTATATATTTCATTATTTCATACAGTAACATAGGGATTATTTATAGGCTTATAATAGTTGCCAATAGATGGCAGAGCGGTCGCGGTTGTACAGGCGTCAGAAAGGAACCGTTGTACATTTGGCCCAGACCCCGCACTCCGCCAGCTTATTCGTTTCCAGTCCTGTATATCTTAGTCCGTGCCATAGAGTAATATTACTCTATGAGCATTGGGCCTGTATTATTTGTTCCACAAAATAATTGTTCCAATTACTATTTGTTCCACAAACTACTTGTTCCAAATGTGGAGCAAATAGTTTTTGGAACAAATAGTAATTGGAACAAATATTTCGTGGAACAAATAATTATTGGAACAAATATGTTGCGGATCAAATAGTAATTGGAACAAATTATTTGTGGATCTTAATAATATTTTTTTTGGAACAAAAATTATTTTTTTTTAAGTACTATTTGTTCCACAAAACAATTTTCCACAAAACAATTTTCTTAACCCTGTGACCCACTTGGGGAGGTGTTGCACAGCAAGTCGGGGGATATTTTCGATTTGCGGAGCGGAGCGACGGCGCCGAGGAGCGTAGCGACGAGTGCCGCTAGCACCGCATCACTGTACGATGTTTTTTTCAAATTGGTGGCTCGGTGCAACAAAAATGCAATTTTCTCAACCCTGTGACCCACTTGGGGAGGTGTTGCACAGCAAGTCGGGGGATATTTTCGATTTGCGGAGCGGTTAGGAACACTTGGAACAAACGTTTTTTGGAACAAATAGTAATTGGGACAAATATTTTGCGGAACAAATAGTCATCGGAATAATGTTTTGCGGAATAAATAGTAATCGGAACAAGTGTATTGTGGAACAAATAGTAAAACTAGGATGAAATAGTAGTTGGAACAAATATAGTGTGGAACAAATATTTTGTGGAACAATTAGTAGTGATCCATGAGCATTACCTACCGTTCTTTTTTTAATTTTGGCGTGCAAATTGATTTGCATTGTATATTAGTTTACATTGCTTCATCTGGCTACACTGAAATTACTATCAATTTCGATTATCAAAATAAAAATTATTATCAAACTGCGGTGTTACATACTTACAAGTTACAATTTACATTATTAAAAATTAAAATTAAATTAATAATTAATAATAAATAATATTATTCTGAATAGGTAACTCGTATAGTTGTATACCTACCTTTTTAATACCTACTACTTAGTACATTTCGATTTTTGGAATTTTACTTCTGGACAACTGAACGACGGACATGAGTACATGACTACATAGTACACTAGTTAACGTTAGATCACAGAATAAATACTTATTATCGAATCGTAGAAGAAGAAGTTACATTTTAAACTGAGTTTAACGAAAGTATTCCAAAATGAATGTTCTACTACAGGGGATGAAGAATTTAGTACTTAATAAATCGCGTAAGTGTTATCATAAACTATTATTTTGAACGTTTTAAATTAACAGTCAGAATTTTGTTCTCATACGGCTTAGTGGGAGAAACGACTAGGTGTATGGCATCGCTTAATCAAATGCACAAGACCGGCCCACACAAAAAGCCAATGTTCAAGCGGAATCCGTTGGGTGACAATCCATTTTTAAAAGGTGTTATACTCAAAACACTGATAAGAAAACCAAAGAAACCAAATTCGGCCAACAGAAAGTGTGTCTTGGTACGATTGAGCAACGGCAAGGAAATGATTGCTTACATACCCGGTGAAGGGCACAATCTACAAGAACACAACGTTGTATTAGTGCGTAACGGGCGGTGTAAAGATTTACCTGGTGTAAAAATAACGTGTGTTAGAGGAAAATTTGATTTACCACACGTAGTCAAAAAAACACAAACAAATTCTTAAATCTATTAGTATTGGATCATTTTCATTTAAAATTTTTTTTTTTGTATATTAGTCATTAATAAAATTAGATTATAAATTATAATATTAATTTATTTTATTTTATACATGTTTGATAAATGATATTACAGTTTATGGTTCAATATTCTGAGTACAGAAGTTTCAAAACAAAGCACTTAATTCTAATGTAACCTTTTCCATTTTTTTTGGAGCAAGTTCAGTTATAATTTTTAATGGTGGTGGTGGTCTGATTTTACGACCAAAACGGCCAGTTTTTCTTTGCCACAATCCAGACCGTGGGCGATTACCCAATTCACGATTACGGTTTGGACTGCCAATGTGTTCCTTGAAGTGATTTGCATTTGATATTTGTCCTGAAAACAGATAATTAATGATTATACACAGAAATCTTATAAAATTATTGTAATTAAAATTTGAATAATTAGGTTAATTTAATATGATGTCTTATGAAATATTTGACGATTTCCTTAATATCAGATATTACATTATCTGCAAGATAGTTTTGTTTTATGTTTTATAGACAAGATAGGTAGGTCCGCCTTGTTTATAGTCATAAATGATGAGAAAATAATAAATATAATATTGATATAAATTTTATAATAATTGAAAACTTACCAATTGATGCCATACAATGTTTAGATAGTGATACTTGTAATTTTGATGGCAATTGAATAATGACTCTGTCGTCAACTTGCCTCAATATAGTAGCTGTTGATCCAGCTGTCATTACATAATGTGCACCTTCACCTGGCACCTTTTCAATGCAGTGTACTTTAGTTCCCTTAGACAATGCACCGAGTGGATACGCATCTCCTTCATTTGGATTAACTATAAGTGGGTATGTCAGTGATAATAATTTTTAGTGGAATGTAGACATATAATAATGAATTACAATATACCTGGAATACGAGGAATGTAACCAGATGTGACCAACATATCTCCAGGTTTCATATTAACAGTTGCAATAATATATTTTAAATTTGTGCCACAACCAACCAATGCCACTTTAGCTGTTCGGCAGCCACAGTCCATTATCTCTAAGACGCGGTCAATTCGGGGAGCATCATGTTCACCGGTGGGTCCAAATCGTTTTAAATCAACCCAATGGTATTTCTGTTTAATACCACCACCTAAGCCCTTGACAACGACTCGGCCTGGAAATTAAATGATTAAAAATATAGCACTTGTTTATATATTTTGTAAATTGTTATAAATACCGGTGGCAGGATCCCGGCCCGCCAAGTGTTTATTGTTCAACGGTTTTATGGTGTACTTCTCAGGCCATTCGATTTCCCGTCTGAAGTTTCTGGATTTCGGACTGGGCAACTCCATGTGTGTGAAATTCCACTTGTGCCTCACCACATTAAAAAGAGCCGAATGTATGGTCTTCAATTTCGTAGGATCAAATACGGAGAAACGCAAAGACGGCGCTAAAAATGACACTGACATTTTTGCACCTAATGACTGGATAAATAATATTTAAACTTACTGTTACATTAAATAATACGCAAAAAACTTGCGCCTCTTATATTAAAAAAAAATTTAGTAGATTTTAAATTTGTTTTTTTTTTAAATTATTAGATTTAAGATTATAATATTAATATTTAATATTGTAGATTCAAGATTGATATCACGAAATTCATACATTATCAATATTCAATTCTGAATTCAGCATGTGTGCAATTTCTCAATGATAATACAATATACTTTAATAACCAAAGAGGTCTGATATGATGTGTATTATTATGTCTTTGACAATGATAAAGCGATTTTACTGCAAATTACAATCAACATAATATTATAAACATTTTATTTAAATTCTGATTTCTGAATATCATGATTCTTGGTGATCTTGTAATTTAATAATTAATTTACATTTACGTGCCGCAGATTAGAAAAAAACGAAATTGTGTAATTCCGCCTCCTCTGTTGAGTGTTTAATTAATAAATTCATTTCTTTTACATTTTATCCTTATTAACAATGGCTCTGAACTACAGTTCCATCGACGACAATGATGCCTTTTCGTTCAGGAATCTTGAAAGGTTTGGAAGTTTTATTCATTACTCAGCTTATTATTGTGATTAATAACATTAATTTTATCTGCATAATTACGAATCCAATTCCATTTAAACTTCGATACCTAGGTAGTCTTATAATTTATAAATAAGACAGTTAAATAAATTCTTACTATTAAACTATTATAGGTGGGTAAGTACTTTGTTTTGTTTTTTTTTTTTGCATACCTATGGTTAAGAATTTTATTGAATACAGATAATTTTTTGTTTGATAATGTTTATACTACTTTGAAATAACTATACAATAATGCATTTTAAATAAAAAAATAATATTCTTATTAATTATCGACATAATTGGGATATTTAGAAGTGATGTCATTGATGACAATGTCAATTGATCAAGCATTTTAAATATTTCCCTATATAACTTAAAGTGAGTAACCGATATATAGCCAATCAACACATAAATTGCAGTAGGTTCTTTGCTTGGTATGATTATGCTTAAATAAATTTAGATTTAACATGTGATTGGACACATATGAGCGCACCGCTCACACAGAAAACATTTTGAGGGTTATTCGTATAAATATTATTGAATTAACCTGAATTCCTTCAAATAATTCTATAAAAATTTACAAAAATAAATGATGGCGTTGTTTTCCATTCCTAAATAGTTATCGTTTGATAGAGTTAAAAGTACTGGTTAATCGCTACCACTACAAGCGTATCCTGCCTTAATATTAAACCGAAACAAATACTTCCGAAAGTGAATAGATCTAAGATGATTAATTTAATAATTACTACATCTACATTAATTATATTGAACTTTTAATTAATTTTTAATTACTTTGTATGTAAAAATAATTTTTTTGTAATAAAATTCCTGTTTTATTTTTATTTGATAATTTACTAGTGATACATAAAAAGTTTACCTTAAAGGATAAAAATATACATATTTGTATGTATGGTTCAATTTATGAAGTTAATAATGCTATTAAAATTAAAGTGTGAGCTCCGCGCTATAAGTGTAGTAATTATGTTGCGCATTATATATGTACCAACAGCAGGTTAAGAACTTTAGAAAAGCCCTAAGTATTGTTGGCTTTATAAATTTGAACTGTAATAAAATAATAAGAAATTTTTTTTTGTAAAATGTTTACATCCATAAATATTTATTTTTCTAACAAACATTGTGTTAACAAGAGTTTAATTTGTCTATAAATTTGTTTAAATTTGTATTAAGTTAAGTGGATCACCTTATTTTTTTATTTACTTCATTCTTGTAAAAATAAAATATAATTTTGATTCAATTTTGTAATTATAGAAATGCAAAAATTGAAAAGATGGGGCTCAAAATGCCGAGTTTCCGTAAAACTGGTACTACGATTGTGGGTGTAACTACTCGTGATTGTGTTATTTTGGCTGCCGATACACGTGCTACATCTGACACAATAGTTATGGAAAAAAATTGTGAAAAAATACATTATATTGGCAAATACATGCAGTATGTTAACTTGAAAAGAAATCAAATTTTAAAACTAATACATATGAATTATTTTAGTTGCTGTGGTGCCGGTACAGCAGCAGACACTATGCAAGTTACTCGCATGGTATCTGCCAATGTTTCTTTGCAAGCATTCAAGTTTCCTGATGAAATGGTGCCTGTTGCATTCGCTGCCAGGTCGCTTCGTCAGTATCTCTTTAAATACATGGTAATTCAGTTTATATTTTATGATGTGTTATTTGTTTATCTTATTTGTCATTAATTTGTATTTGATTTTAGGGATATGTTTCAGCCGCTTTAATTTTAGGTGGCATTGATAACAGTGGTGCACATTTATACTCAATTTATCCTCATGGTTCAATTGATAAATTACCTTACATATCTATGGGATCAGGAAGTATGGCAGCCATTTCTGAACTTGAAAGCCGCTGGAATGAAAATCTAACAGTAATAATAGCTTTGTTTTTAAACTGTTTGAACTGAAAACCTTTAAACAAATTGCTTGATTGTATTCATTTTTAGGAAGAAGAAGGCATGAAACTGGCATGTGATGCAATTTTGGGTGGTGTATTTAATGATCTTGGTTCCGGAAGTAATGTAGACCTTTGTGTCATCAAAAAAGATGGGACTCGTATGCTCAGGAACTATTTGACACCCAATAAGAAACCGGCTACGTATGTATTTTATTCTCCACTAAAGTCGAGTCTCAATACCTTAAATCTCATGGGGAATAAAAATATATTTGACTTATGTATTTTTTGAGTTATGTACCTCAAATACAAAAACATTTCATGGGGACAAGAAAAAAAATTGAGTTATTGCGACTTGACTGTACCGTATAGTATACAGTTCTATTTGGATCTTAGTTAAACTTATGTGGTAATATTTATTTTTTAGTGCCAAATATGTCTATCCTTCTGGTTTAACCAAGGTTTTATGCAAAAGTGAAATAAAGTTTGAAATTGCAGAGGAAACTGTCATGGAAGTTGATGCTTAAAATTTTCAATCGTATACAATACAATGTAATAAGATCCACTTATGAATATTAATTTTATATACATTTTCCAGTTATCCACAGTTTTTTTGTATTTTGGTGGCAAAATACATTTTTATTTATGTGAAATACTGATATCTATGTGTAATTAAAATAATATTTTTTAAAGAGAAGTTATATTATTTTTGTTTTCAAACATGTTTATGAGTTGAGATTTATCTTATAAAGTGGGTATTGTTAAATTGTGTTATATTCATAACTTGCATTCAAATTGAAATATATGTAAAACCTAAAGCACAAACACAGGTAATTTTCTTAAATTTAAGTTTGATATAATTCAATAAATTCACTATAATATTATTAAACCTAACAATGTTAAATGGAACACTAAGAATAAAAATAGCGTAATAACATTAAATAATTTAATGAAGAACTAGGGCTTACTGTAAATTTTAATTTGTCCTATAATTGTAGACATGCTATAATTAATGGTTATAAGTAGAGATCGGAATTTTTGCATTTTCATATTCATACTGAGTGTATGTACAACTATGAGGATTCAAAATGTGGGCATTTAAAATCAAACTGATTTTCACAGACAACATTTATTTTGCGTATTAATGCATATTTGAGGGTTAAGCCATATTAATTTCTTATTAAAACATATAATTTGTGAATTTTAAACACTTTAAAAGATATAATAACTTACTCTTTCTTTAGCCCGTTAAAATAAAAACGAGGGTTAAAACGTTGATTAACAATTTGTTAATTTTAAATAATCACGAAAATATTTTTGATAATCTAAATATATATTATACATCATAGATATATACAACAACTAGGTAGCCTTTATACTACAATTGTGACCAATTTTGAAGTCTGCCTCCATTTATAAAGCAGGCAATATTTACATTTATTTATATATATATATATAATATACTGTGATAATATTATTTTGTAAACATTACCTGCTTTTTAAATGGCAGCTGACTTCGATGATATGAAGGAGTCAGCTATCTAGTTGTTGCAGTTATACATGTATCTAGTTATGATATATATATATATTTGTTTATATACATTATAGTATATTAGTATTATATTATAAATCGTCTTGTTTTTCTGCCACCACCAGCCACAACCGATCATAAATGACTAGTAAGTATAATAATCTGCTGGTACTTAAATTAATAAATGGAAATAACACAACAGTCAACAATATTATTGGCTACTGACTATCAAGATATATTGTATACTCTGTGTCTGCTTTAAAAGTGTACTGTATATCATCTATAATATCTATTACATACATTATTATGGTTTTTGAACACAAAATGTAAAAATGTATATACTATAATATTAGTATAAATATAGTTAATAAAATAATTAATTAATAATTATATTATAAAAATAATATTGACATCGTGTACAACTGTGTAGGTATGTAGCAAGTACGAATTTATCGTAATGTGTCATAGTTATCGCGGAAGAAATGTGTTTATGTGTTTAAGGTGCATAGCTTATCTGCTTATTGCATATTGACTTCAAGCTTACATATTATATAACGCCGCCCTATTATATAATATTATATTGTTATATAATTTTATATTTTTAGTACCTTTAAATTGGTGCCCGTTTCACGTATTGGTATACCTATTCTTAGAATATTATAGTTACCTATATTAGTTGTATTGCACATTCGTACAGTGGTCGAATACTATTATATTATAATTTCCAATTCTCATTTCTCAGTTCTCAGATTACTGTGCGCAGTGGCGTCCGCAGGGGGGGGGGGGCTAAAGGGCTGAAGCCCCCCCCCCATTGCCCGTATTATTGTTACTTTTTCAAAAAAATATTAATCAAGTTAAACTGTCAACTATAGTAAGCAAGAAGTAAATTTCATATATGTCTTACCAGGATGAATTCATTTTTGAAAGAACATTGTATTTGCATACCAATTTTCATAAATTATCTGTAATTTTTAGGTAAAAGTATGAACTACTTGTATGAAAGACCTTGTATTAAATTGTCTAGCCTTAGCTATATAATATATTTTATATTTTATAAGTTTTGAACTACAAATTAACTGTCATTTTGACAAAATTTGAACTTTAAATGCTTAGGTATAAGAAATAACCATGGTGCCTATGTAGTGTTTGAAGTATGAAATATTCCACAAAAACCTGACACTTTGAAATTATTTTACACAAATAAAAACACAATTTATTTATTTTTTTAACACAATGTTCAGTGTTCTAAATTCTAATGACAGAATTCAGTATTTAAACAATAAACATGTATAATAATATTGTATACCTACTTGTATCATTTAAACATTAAAATATTTAAAAATTTTGAATACCATTTTAAATGTATAATACCAAAGGTTAGGTATACATACAGGTACTTTATAGTTATGAAGGTAATTTATGACAATTATATGTAAATATAAAACTTATTTAAAAATAAAACAAAATATATCAAAATACTGAAATATTTCATTTTTTTTAAATTTCATGAAATTTTCAAACACTATGCCTATGTATCGTTAATATTTTAGCTATAATAAAATAACTTACTTATTACATTTTTAAGGTTTTTGACCGTATAAATATAATTATGTTATAATAATTAAATATAATTTTTTATTAACATTTATATAGAAAAAAAAATTTAATTATTCAAATACAATCCAAGTGAAGACGGTATAACCAAACATTTAAATAAATTTTCATTTTTTTTTCTCCAATTATTTTTAAAAGCACTGAGAATTTTCAATTTCTACCCCCTAAAAGTACCAACTAGATCCAATTTGCTTCCAAAAACATACACAGGGCATCGAAGCTTATGATCAGAGCATTTTTTCTACCAGAAAGTTGAAAAGTTACAAAAATTTTAAAATACCTCAAATAAACGTCTGAAATTATTAGACTGGACAAAATAAAAATGTAACTAATTTTCAAGCCCCCCCCCCCATTGAAAAATCCTGCGGACGCCACTGACTGTGCGTCTGTGCAGACTGCTAAGTAGGTAGGTAGCTACTATTACAGACTATCATAGCCGTTATTTTTGAGTACGTATACAGTATACATAAATACGTTAGATTTTATTGTATACAATAATTATCAAAATGTTCAGTATATTCAAATTTAAAAAAAAGGTGCTCTGCTGTACAGTAGGTTACGAGGGGGTCACTGTATAATGGTTGGTATTAAATTTGAATTCAATGATGTATCATTGTATAAGAAAAACGATTCTGAGCGGGGACGTTATGTCAGTCTATAGGTGTAAGACATATTATAATATACTTATCTATGGTATAAAAAAAAATTTATATTTAAAAATTTAAAAATTAATCATACCACAAATAGCCATTAGGTACTTATAACTTGTTATACATCAACAACAAACTGTGATCCTATAATAGATGTATAATAGTATACTGTAGAAGTTTCAAGTACCCACGAATAATATTTTACAATCACAACAAAATAACTAAAATAGTTATTCTAGGTTTTTAATATGTATTTTCTTCCAAATTTGAAATTAAAATGACTATAAAAATAAACCGTGGTTATGTATTTTTTAGAATTTTTGGTAACAGAATAAACTACTTACGTGGAATTTTGTTTTAAATTTTCAATCCTTAGATATAAAAGTTGAACATTTTATAAATTTTTAACTACAAAATAATTATTCAATTTTAAATATGATAAATTTTGTAAAAATTTAATCTTTAAATGCTTATAAAAAAAAAAATTGTGCATATGTATTTTTAATATTTTTCAACTTCTATTGTAACAATATATCAGGAGCCTTGTATTACATGTTTACACTTTTTGGCCCAACAAATAAAACTTTATTGATATTCATAGAAAAAAAAGGTGGGCAAGTGGGTGTCGCTCTGCTGTACAGTAGGTTACAAGTGGGTCACTGTATAATGGATGGTATTAAATTTGAATTCAATGATATAATATCATTGTATAAGAAAAACGATTCTGAGCGGTGATGGTATGTCAGTCTATGTATAAGGCATATTATATACATATCTATGGTATTAAACAAAAAATTGACCTATAATAGGTACCTATAATAAATTCCAAATTAATCATATCACAATATCCATTAGATACTTATAACGCGTTATACATCAACAAAAACCGTGATACTATCATAGATATATAATAGTACACTTTAGAAGTTTCAAGTACCCACGAATAGTATTATTCAATCACAACAAAATAACTAAAATCGTAATTCTTGGTTTAAATATGAAATTTTGTCTAAATTTGAAATTAAAATGTCTGTAAAAAATAAGTGTGTTTATATATTTTTTAGATTTTTTGGTTACAGTATGAATTATTTAAGAGAATCTTTGTTTTAAATTTTCAACTCTTAGTTATAAAAACTGAACATTTTATAATTTTTTAATTCCAACGATTGATAATTTTCGAGATTTTGATAAATTTTGTCAAAATTCCAACTTTAAATGCTTATAAAAAAAAATCGTGCATATGTATTTTTAATATTTTTCAACTGATATTGTAACAATATATCAGGAGCCTTGTATTAAATTTTTACACTTTTTGGCCCAACAGATAAAACTTTATTGATATTTATAGAAAAAAAACTAAAAAAAATTGAAAGCTGTAAATGTCCATAAACAGCTCAAAAAGAGTCAAAATATTTTCAAAATTGTATGGTGTATATGAAATGCTAATATAAACATTCAGTGAAATTTTCATGTATCTACAGTTATTCGTTTTTGAATTACAACAAAATAAGGAAATCGCTACATGAGAAATCGAGTGAAAATCCAATGTTGTAAAAATTTGAATTTCAAACGCTCATAAAAATTTAATTTGACTGTCCGGTAGAGATTTTTTTATTGATAAAGGTAGATAATCTTATAAGGAATCTTGTGTTTCCTTTTCAAATCTTAGATTTAAAAAGAAAAATTTTTACGAATTCTTAACTCAAAATAATTTGCTAATTTTCGTGATTTT